CCAGAAGGAGCAAAAGCCGGGTTCCCAGGTGTCAGTGCCCACAACGAGCAGCTCCCCTACTCGGTAGCATTGGTAACCTGGACCACTTGGCCAGGGCACTTTGGAAGTGGCAGCTTAGCACTTCCTTTTGTTTTCCAATCAAATAGTCAAAATCAGATGCGAAAGATGAAAATTTACCTGCATTGGGCCTATAGCCGCTGTCCTTGGTCCCTCTCCCACCAGGAATGAGAGAGCTGCTGATGCAGAAGGGCAATACAGGGCGTGAGAGGCTGCCTGGCAGCGCTGGAGCTTTCCTCTCCCCTCCCTGTGAGCTGCAGGTCAGAATTCACCCCCCTGGGGAGACCTCCTGAAGGTAGGAATTCAGAGTGGAATAAATCCACTCCAGTTCAAGTGGGATGTGTGACCGAGGACTCGCATCTCCCAGGATCACCCAGCACAGCCTCTAAATCTTCACTTTTGAGCAGAGCAGAATCCTGGTCCGGTCTCTGCAGGCCACAAGAAGTCGGGAAAATAAAATGAGAGGTTGTCCCTGCAGGGTCTCCTGGGCAGGTCAGGGAGCCGGGGACAAGTCTGGGTGCTTGGATGAGAGCTGCTGGCCGCACACTCACAGAACTGGTCTCATTTTCTTCTGCCACTGTTGCCACTCTGGTTTTGGATATTGTTTCAGGGAGAGGAGAAATAGCAATTTAAGGCTATAAAAATACTTGAAGGCTTAAAGAGGATTCTTATATTGTCTAAAGCCGGGTGGCTGCGACTGGTCACCTCCATCCATTTATAGTTTAGGCTGTCACTTCACACATCATTTGCTCTTCACTCTCCCATGCTATCACTTTTTTACTTGCCCCTGACAACGTGGAGCACAGGATTGAGGAACCGATCCAGGTTAAAATCAACCTTTTTTTTGTTGCTTTCTTGCAAGCTTCATTTTAACCCAGTTCTGGTGGCTGCTCTGATCTGTCACTGTCATGCAGACACTTGTGCCAGCCAAGGAAAGGGCTGATCCAGGAAAGGCGAGATTGGCTTAAGCTAAGGCTGCTGCAGAGAGCAGGTGGGAAATTAATGGCCATGGTGTCAAAGGAGAAATGAAGAAGGGAAATCTGTGGCTCCTGCAGTGGTCCAGTTAGCAGGAAAGATGTGGCTTCTAAATACACCACCATGGGTGTTGCCGTCACGGTGTCCCACAGGCAGCGTCTCTGACAGGTCTGATGCTGGAAAGCAGACGCATCCCGTTCCTGCAGATTCCAGAGGACTGGAGC